AAAAAAAAAAAAAAAAGAAAGGTAATAAGCAGCATCTTTCCCAAGAAATCAACATGTGACAGTGGAAAACTTTTTTGCAGGACAGCTAAGTGAACTTTTGGTACCACTTAACTCTTCTATGAAAGAGGTTTAAAAAAAAATCGGACATTTATATAAAAGCAGGAAGTCTTCAATGTCAGACTAGGAGGACAATTTGGACTCTGAAATGAAAAATCTAATGTCAAGGGCTTAAGTGCTATCTCAGCCATGCTCCCACGACCAAGTGACCCCAAGGGAGTAGTGTCCTTGCAGACTTTGGCCCAACAATAACAACCTAAAAAAAAATCCATTAAATCTATGCGTCATTTTATCTGCATTGTAACTTGAGAAAAGACCAAGATCATGACTGGTCAGTATCAACCCCAAAATACCAGGAACAGTATTCTCATCCCATAGGCTGATATTGTTGGCTTTGCATTGTCAACATTCAAGCAAAAGTGTTTGTGGAAAAAAAAAAAAAAGAAAATAGCAACAAAAGTTAAATCCCTAGTGGCAAAAAAGCAACTTTTTTATTAATAACTGAAATAATTATTTAAATAAATAAAAGGCATGGGAATAGCAAAAGGGATACAGCTGGGATGTTTATTTTACATTGAGAGATGTGGAGTTTCTGTACAGTAGAGCACAAACAGAGCATGTTCGGAGACAGGTGCTAGAGAGAGAGTCAAGTAAGGTAGCAGACAGGACAAGGAACCCATGAAACATCCAAGAGCTTGGAAAGATGCTCTCTCCAACCTGATGAAGATGTCTTTGGAGAAGTGAAGCAAAGAAAGTTATCTGCATGAAAAGAAAAAGTGAAATAAGGTAGGAAATAAAAAGGTGCAGTAAAGATTTCCAAAAAAGTAGCAACAGCACAGCAGAGCCCAGCATGCCAAGATGACTACGAGTGAAATGCCATGCCATGCTGGGACTGGAATGCTACAGCGTACCAGGAGACGAGTACATTTTAAAGTCTGTTTTCCATTTGGAAATATGCCAAATGGAAGAAATACTGTAATTTGCTATATACAGAGGAAAAAAAAATCTATTTGTGCGATAAGCCACTGAGCAAAAGCATATGCTGGGATGTACAAATAAAAAGTATACAAAGCAGACAACATTAGATACTACTAAAAAGTTGGGGGAGGGGGGAAGCAATGAACAAATGTAAGGATCTAAAAAGGTTACTGCAAGGAAAAAGTATTCAAATATGGTACATGCCAAACACATTTTCAGCTCTAACCAAAGCTTACGCCTCGCTGAAAAGCGTGTTAAGTTCCGAAAGAAAGGCTGGGGCTGAACATCACACCTCACAAGTATGAGCGAGTCCCAGCTCCTCCTCTTCCTCACGTCAGCGGCACAGGGTTCATGCAAACGACAGGCATGAGCACGGTACGGCAGATTTAGCACAGCTGATCTCTGCTCAGAGTTTTTAGGTTCAGGGAGGAAGGGCCAGCCTATATCCTCCATGCACACCTCACGGACCTCGCACCTGATGCTCTTTCTTTTTCACCCTTATGACTACGGCTGATATTGCTATATACCTGCTATTTGCAAATTACTTACTACCACTGTTCGTTCACAAAAAAGAAAGCGACGATTTGTTTTTCAAATACTAACCTACACAGAAACAACCTGCATTTCAATTCCGTCACTTCTATGGGTTTAGATGACAGTGTTTTCAATCAATTTCTGCACATACAATTTAATAAGAACAACCGAAATTTTCAGAGCAGTTGAGAAAATTTAGATACGCACTTTCCACTAGCATTAACAGATGATACAGCTAAGGCTTACGGATTTCTTTGAAACTCTTCTAGGAACTTTGCCAGAGGAAAATTGTGATAGCAGAAGAACATACCCCGTATGCAACATGTACTGTGGTAATTATCTTTTGGCAATTTAAAAGTGATGGGCTTAGTAGAAGATACTTGAATAGAGGTGAGCTGAAAGGATAAAAGCAGAGCTACAAACAAAGGGCAACCACGAGACACAAGGATCAGATATGGAATGACAGAGTAAACACAAGCTTATTAGGCAGCTTACAAAATCACCATGAGTATTTACCAGGCTAGACACAACACTCATCCACACTCCACCACGGTTTTAAAAAAAAAAAAAAAACACACCACCATTCATGGTATTTTGTACATCTAGTCTCGCTAAACGAATGCATCTCCCGCTAGAGAGGGAGCATAACTTCACAAAGCCGAAACCGCGCAATCAATGAGAGCAGGGAAGCAGGTGCAGGCACAAGCTGGGAAGACATTTACATGGAAGTCATATCGTTGAGAGCGTGGTCCAGCTCCTCGCTGATGGCTTTGTACTTCAGTTTCTGAGCGTATAGCTCATCTAACATTCCCCCAAAGGAAGGCAGAGGTGTGCAAGGAAATGGAGCGTGATCATGGGATGGAAGGTGAAGGCAGTGGCATGAGATACCATCCAGAAGCAGCAGGAAAGGGGAAGAGAGCACACAGAAAGAAGTGTTGTGGCAGACAGAGAACAAAGAGAACCCAACAAAATACAAAATTAAGGAGTAATAATGAATAAAAGAAGTGAACAGTTCTGTGACAAGTTCTTTCACTGCACTGCCAGTGATAAAGAGAAAGGATGGAAGCAAACAAAGCATGTAAGGGAAGCAAACCCCATGTTTCCCTATCCTGGATTTAACCTGTTTTAACAATCATTAGAGGGGCACACACGAGCTACAAAAACCAGTAGCAGGGACAGAAGATCTCAAAACGGGGCTCAAGGAAAATGCTAACACTTATCTTCCATTGCTCTTTTATAAAACCCATTGCTTTGTGTGAGCTGTCATAAGCTCAGTTTTTTCAAGAGATTTTTCTTCTTTCTAAAGCACTCAGTTTTCTTCTGTTTCTTTTCTAAATGGCCATAAGTTTTCAGCATCTGAGTATTAGATCCTAGATATTTCACACACTTTATGGATAAGTAAGTCTGCTGCTATACCAAGCAATTGCGGTGCTTAAAATCCTAGAGTTAATGTAACACATCTAAGTAGTAAACTCCATATAAAAAACACTATTGAATTATTCGCTCTGGGGGAGAAAGCGCATTATGTTGTAGTTCTGAAAGATTTATCAGAGCCTTAAAGCAAACTCTGGAGTTAAATAAGTTGTCCCCTTGAATAAGTATACAATCCATTAGCTTCGCTGAAAACCAGCAACTGTTCTCTGTCACAAAAATGCTTGCCCTGATCTGCACTCTTTGTGGTCATGAATTAGGTTGGTTTGCTATGTTCCTAATTATAGCCAACATAACACAGCTCTTCACCAACTTTTTAAGCAAATAAAATAGTTGCTAATAATACTTGTTATCTAATCGTTTACCTTGTATATGTATATACTTCTAAACAGAAGAGTTTAAAGTAAAAACGAAAGGCATCTTAAGAACATCAGAGAAAAAGAAACAGGCAAGAGCAAAACGCTGTTCACCCGAAACATTTAAGTTTAACATCAGTAGTTTAACATCAATACATTTCAGTTGGAAAACATTTAACAAACATTTTGCAGATTTTACTCTTTAAGCAGATCCATTTATATAAGCAGGACAAGTTTGAAGAGTAGAACTGAGTACTGAATAAAAACAACAGGAAAACATGAGATCTGTATTTCTGTACTAAGTGTGGAAAACAAAGAACCATACCTTCTAGGTCATCAATGCTCTTCTCCAGCTTGGTTACTGACCTCTCAGCAAATTCAGCACGGGTCTCAGCCTGAAGTCAAGACAAATACAAATGATTTCAGGGAACATACACAGAGGAATACGAATAGAGGAACAACAATTCAAATGAGAAGAAAAAAAAAAAAAAAGAGTATAATGACAGGAGATAGATTTGAAATAATTAATACAGAAACACTCACTTTTAGGAGAGACAGCTAATGCTAAACTCACTCACTGTCTCAGAAATGACATGTTCAGCTTTAAAGATCCAAAGTAGTGTTTATATTAAAAGAAACAAAGTAGTACTGGAGGGTGTGCTGTAAAGAACAGTTCTAATTTTACCTCCTTCAGTTTGTCAGTCAAGACTTTAATCTCCTCTTCATATTTGTCTTCTTTCTGCGAGTACTGTAATTAGAAAGCGGATCACTGATATTAGACCGAGCACTCCACATATACAAAAATATCACATTCATAACTGTCTTCCAATAGACGAACGGTATAGAAGAAACTAACGTGGGTATAACTAAATTCCACTTACCAGACTGTAGTCATACACGTTTTGTTTATTACAAGAGTTATATGCTGGTTGAGTTATATACCAGGCCTATGCAGTGGGAACTCGGAGTCAAAATTAATTCTTCAGTTTTAAAGAGGAGAGGCATTTCGAGAAAATGCATTAGCACACAAATGCCATTTTAAAGCACTTTTATATAAAGGCACATAAATGCTGTTGGATGTGTTCAAATAATACCGACCTATTTGGAATCAGAAAGAATGCTAGGTTCTGATAACAGCCAAATACGAAGCGAGTCGTAAGTTCAAATGCTTCTATCAACAAACAGCCTTGCTGAAATGCTGAATACAAAAGTTATCAGCATACAAAAACACAGGCCAGTCCAGGTGACAACTCATTAAGGAGCACATTCTCACAGAAGTCTCTAGCCTACCTTCTCAGCCTGAGCCTCCAGCGACTTCAGGTTGTTGGTCACAGTTTTCAACTCCTCTTCAAGCTCAGCACATTTGCTGTTATTTCGGAAGGAAGGCAGGAAAGGGGCGGGTGGAAGATTCAGTCAAGCAAAAGAAACAGGAGAAAATAGGGGGAAAATATAGAGAAAAATGAAAACAATTATAGAGCAAAAGGACGGCCTCAAAAGCAGCTGAATCCATCACAGATTGAAAGCAGTTCTTTACGATGCCAAATTCTGTTCCAAGTGTGCATTAAGAATACCAGACAGAAATTATCTACAGCCCTTGGCTTACATAGAAATATTTACACAGCCTTTAAACGTGAGACAGTTCAGCTTCTTTTTGGCTGCACAAGAGATCGGTTGTAAAGGTAAAAATGAATAAATAAAAAAAGAGACCAAAGAAAACCACCAAAGCAAGATGCAAAGAGAGCAAAGAGCGTAGCGAGGACTTATCTGTTACTACTGAGTGAGCTAACTGGCTATGAAAGCTGAAAGACTTGGGTTGCAGTTAAACCTAAGAACTGTTTATTAGTATCAGTACCTTATCCTCTGCAGCCATTAATGCTTTCAAGGTTTGATCCATTATTCTTAATTGTTCTTCCAGCTGTCGGACTTGGCTGTTAGTGAACACATGAAATGCACAAAAGCCATTCACAAAATCAGTGTGCAGGTACAGCATGCAGTGACAAAACACACGCGCACACACATACAAACACATTTACGCTGGTGTCGACCATTTATCTCAACCATTACAGCAAATGAGCAGAACATAGCTTTGAGCTGAACACACAGTGTACTGCCAATGTTTCATGCTGTTACAGTTACTGTCTCGCAGCACCTCACACGCATCTCAGGGGCGTTTCCAACATTTACCTTTCCGAAAGCTCAGCACGCTCCTCAGCCCGCTCCAGGTCACTCTCAATGATCACAAGCTTACGAGCCACCTGTAGGAAAAGGCAAATGACAATCTCAGGCATTATGCTGCTGCAGCCAGGGTCATCTGCGGCCAGAATCTATGAGGCAGGCGGCTGGGCCTCTTCCCATCTCTGCCTGAAGGGTTAACACGTGAGTTTTGATTATGTGACATCTTCATTATTCATTTGGGTCTGAGTTACCTGACATTTTTCACAGCCTCTCTTCTTCGTTCACCAAAAGGCAGCTTAAGAATAGCCTCTTTTTGAGAGACTCTCTAAGAGACCAGGGAATACTCTCAACCGTTTTGGTGCAAAGGACTGAGCACAGATCTCCAGCCACCTACTTGTCCCAGCTGCCCAGTTTTCTTCTGCAGTTGCAGACAGTGGTGTTTGTGATCTTGCAAACTTAATATGGCAATGGAAAGACAGAACCACAGGCAGAGCCCGAGGAGCCTTAGAAAGAGATGATCTGTGTTCAAGAACTGACCTCTTCATACTTGCGGTCAGCCTCTTCAGCAATGTGCTTAGCTTCTTTAAGCTGGATCTCTTGGATTTCCATTTTCTCTTCATCCTTCTGGGCTCTATTTTCAATGACCTTCATTCCTCTGAAAGACAAGAAAAACAGGAAATTCAAGGTTCAGGGCATGCCAGTTTATCTTCAGCTCTGCTACCACTGGAGTGTGTCTTTCAGGTAGGTACATCAAGATGAACAAAGCATGTCAGATACTTGGTTCTACAGACCAGGGGCCTAGTCCTGTGCACTCGCACATTGGAAGTTTAAAGGAGAGATGCATGACTTAGGAGGAAATGAAAGTCATTTGTTTAGCTCTTTCCACAGTTTAGCTTTAACCAGAAACTCAAAACCAGTTGACTCTTCTTTTTCATTTTAAATTCAGGGAAAACAGTTCTTACACAAAAGTAAATGAAAAACATCTTGTTTCTAAAGATCTAATAAAACGATTTAAGACATCTGTGCTTCTTCACTCATCATGAGACAGCATGTTCCAATTCCTGCAGGACTGACAGATATTATCTTTATGGGACAGACAGATTCCCATGAGGTTTGTCATGTCAGAGCCCTTGAGCAGTGAAGTTCTTTGCGCTCTACACCAGCAAAACGTAACCCTTTCGCAAGAGGAAACGTTTTGTGTTCCCCCTTCCACACGCTTGCCTGAAATTCTCTTTCTTAACAAACACACAGCACCCCGTGAAATAGTAAGGTGCTTTTTACTTTCAAAAGGCTGCAGTGTTAGTGAGGTAAAAAGAGAGGAGCACTACATTTGGAATTCTTTCCCAAAGAAAGATTCTATCACAGGTATAAAAGATAATTGGTAAAAATAAAATATGGGCTTTTCCAAAGTCAGCAAATCTTCAGCTCCTAATTCATGTTAAGTACTTCTGAAAATCCCAGCCTAAATATGACTCAGTTACCATCTTCTCTCTCTCCTTTGTTCACCTTCATGCACAAATCTGATCAACAGGAGAACCAAAGCCTCTTCCAGCACTTTGCTGTTCTCTAGGTAGGCTTTTCTACACGTGCTGAAATCAAGAATCACTCTACAGCATGAGAATACACATCACCCTCACAGAACTTGTCATCCAAATACAGGAGCCTGGGCTCGGTCAAGCAGTTCTCCCAGGAAGTGACACAGCACATCAGAAGTCAGCCTTACCCCAGGTAAATCTGATCCTTACAACTGAGACTTGAACAAGAACTTGAGCCTACACGTTTATGGCATCTCTACAGACAAGCTGCCACTGAAGTTCATGTAAGCAAAGGCAGAGCGGATGACACTTGTTCAGAGGCATAGAAGTGGTTTAATTTACTTCCCTAACCCACGCCCTGGCAATTTACCACCTTTGTCATAAGGGTAATGAGCCCTTCCAGAGCGGCCCTGCCCACCTTTCACTCTCATCTGCAGCCTTCTCAGCCTCCTCCAGCTTCTGCAGGGCAGTGGCCAAGCGCTCCTGAGCCCGATCCAACTCTTCCTCAACCAGCTGGATGCGTCTGTTCAGAGAAGCTACTTCGCTCTCAGCCTAAGCACAGGAAGAAAGGAAATAAATGCATAGTAACGCACACATCACCTTTTGTAAAAGATCAACTCATGTACCTGCTAGTGTCATTCAGAAGCACTTCAATAATTTCTCACTTCATCCACTAAATAGCACGTGCACAGAGATATACATGCGCTCACTGAATCGTGAAGTTATTGCTTAATGGGGAAAACATGATTAGTGCTTCCTTTATATAAAGCACATTCAGGACTGTACATTTTGTACCAGAAAGAACAGTACTAGAGGAATTATGCATCATTCTCTAAATATTTTCTGTTATTGTATTTGCAGACTTGAACCAATTATAGACTTTTTTTTTTTTTAAGCAAACCAACACAAACAATATCCAAGTTACCCAATTCTTCTATGTTATCCTGAGTAATCTACTGAAGGAGTACATTTAAAAAACCAAGTTCTTTAACTCTGAGCTTAGGCCACTGTTTAATGAGGAATACTGTACCAGCGTTTCCTTGGTTTCAATAGGAACGTTTAGGATAAACATGTAAAAACAGGGCACCTAGATCGGCATTACAGTGACAGAGCTTACACAGAGAGCGCACGAGAACATTTAAGAAGTGTCTGAGCACTGGATACACACAAGCTTGGTGTATAGGCGAGTTACAGAGCTGGCAAAGGCGGCACTGTGGAGGCTACCTACATCAGAGAAGGGCCCTGGTGCAGGCACTTGTCACCTAAAACACGTTGACTGTTTTGATAATGCCGTCTTTGAACTTCCCCCAGATTTGCCTCTCTTGCATTACCCATTTGCTTAAACTTCCATACAACACTTGCAACTAACCTCTCTCTTACCCTTACAAGCCTTGACTTCTGACGTTCTCCAACTTACACTTGCTTAAGTTGTAGGGTAAGTCCTGTAACAGCCTTCTCGTAGCAACCCCCTTCTCAAACTTCCTCATTTCTTTCAAAAGGATATTAAGAGCAAGAGATGCAGCAAAAAGATTATTCTAGAAAGCAAGGTACTTTCAAGACTAAAAATTACTCTTAATTTGTATCAAAAACCATCTTGCCAGGTATGAGGAAATATAAATTAAGTACTTCCTATAATACCTAACTGGTGAAAAAAAGAAATCCCTTTCATACCAAAAGTATCAGCCTGGTACTTTTTCTTCATTAAAAACTTAAGGAACTGTTATTAGTTGCTTATACTAGCTAGAGGCACTTGGACACACTCGGCCAAGCTTTGAATTTTGTTGTACAAAACATCAGTAAGGATAACCTACACACCGGACAACAAGTAACACAACCTTTGATATAACAGTAACGCTACCACTAGAGTGACAGGAAATTACATGTAAACAACAGGGACTGCAAATATGTATGTGAACATTACTGAGTATCGGCAGTGAACACGTAGGACCAGGACTAGAAAAGATCCCTACAGATCCACATTAACTCCAATATCAAGTCTTCATCTAGCTGTGTAATAACGCAGCAGGACTCCAAACATTTGGATTTGAGAAGCAAAGCAACTTTCGGGTGGAGAAAGATTTTCATGTGTTCACAAATGTTACTTTTGGGAAATTAGCAACATTACAAGTTAATTATTGTCATGTTACGACTTCTCATCACGATAAGAGCATACAATAAGCTTAGAAAACAGAGGGTGGCTAAAGTTCAATTTGTTACTTCCTGCTCCACAAGCAGTAACTCCGTAAGGGTTTACCGACTACCCTTATATGGCCCAAGTTATTCTTCTGCGGAGCAGGACTTCTCTCCTTATATGGCAAGGAAGGAAAAAACCCCAGTGACATTAAGGGGCACTCCCATGGCGAGCGCACAAACATAACCTCCTGCGGTTTTGCCAGAGCACTTACACACTGCATATTTTTACAGTGAGAGATGACATGGATAAATCACTATTGGCTGTTAATTATTACTGCTCCAAGAGAGATTGTGTTTTCCAGCTAAGCACATAATTGAAGGAGGAATAACGTATTCTGAAAACGCCATCGCTAACAGCCCCAGGAAACGCATGCACACAACACAGCACAAGAGATTTTCTTTTTTGTAAAAGCGATGGCTGCTAGCCAGAATCTCCTCAAGACGCTAACAGTCTGGTTCAACAACCAAAAGCTGTAAGCAGTGATAGGCTTTGGCCACAGCTGTAGCTTTTTCATTGTTTGCATATCCGTACCTTGCACAGAAAGAAAAAATGCCCTAGCTGGTCACATGCCACACGTGCAAGGCACTGCGCTAAGGGAAGGGTCAGTTCACACCTGGGGGTGCTGGCCGCAGCGCTCTCCAGCCTCCTCCTCCGTCCTCAACCAGGCAGCAAGGCAGCGGCCGCAAGGCTCGCGCGGGCAGATTCCCCGTTACCGCAGAGGCGCAGGTCTGCACGGGCCTGTGAGCTGCTTTCTGCGTTCATTCAGCTCAGTACTGACCTCCTCCCAACAAAAACTGAAACACTACGCAAAGGTACGTGGCAGAACCCCCCAAAAACCGCTCCAGGGAAGAGACGAGCCCGGCCCGGCAGGATGCCGAGCCTTCGGCCGGCCCTGTGACGAAGCTCCGATGGCAAGACTCGGCCAGCAAGCTGTAATCGCTCCTCCAGACCTACTCCTTCTGCCACCAAAGACAACAGCAAACCTTCCTGTTTTCAGTGACATAGTAACCAATCTTAGTAACAACGCTCAGAAAAGGAATTCAGTTATTTTTAAGACAGAAACCCTTATGAAACAAATTAATACGCCTGCAACGTGATCCATTACTAAAAAAAGGGCACGCGTAGTGACTCGTAAGAACGCAAAGTGGTTGCACAAACACAAGGAGCCATGCCTCTGCTCCTTGGGCAGGCCATCTGCAAGCAATCAGCAGGCCCTTCCCTCACTAGATATCATTCTTGTGAACTCGCTGCCCAGGGTGTACCAAAAAAAAAAAAAAAAAAACAAACCCCACGCTGTAAAGGAAATACAGAAATCACCATCTTCTCTATTGTAACACACTGCATGAATAACAAGTTTGTTCTTTCGCATCGCTTTTATGCGAGCACTGAAGACACCGAGACCACCGTCAAGGACACCGTCCGTTTCACAGAAGGGCAAAACGAGGTAGGCTGCGGGAGTTTCCCCAGGTTAGCGGCAAGGCAAAGGAAAGCACCACCAGTTTTGCACCACCCATGATTAAACCTGCACCGACTGATCCTTTTTCCTCCTTTCTTTTCTGCGCAGGCACGTGTAATACAGGCAACCGTGGCATTTCCATGCAGCGCCTTTCGCGCTCCTCTGCAAGTCATCTTTGCCCGAGAAAGCCATGTAACCGCTCCGGCGCGAGGGCGAAGGGCGGCCCTGCGAGTCATCCCCGTC